TTTAATGGAAGTCTAGTTGCATGGACCTCATTTTGGGATTCCTTCAAATCGGCCATTCATGATAACCCCAGCTTGGCAACCATTGATAAATTTTCTTATTTGCAGTCTTTATTGGAAGGGAAAGCCAAGGAAACTATTGCAGGCCTTGCCCTTACTGATGCCAACTATTCTACGGCGATTGACTTATTGGAGAAGAGGTTTGGCAGCAAGGAGAGGATTACTGCAGCTCATATGGACGTACTGATGAGCCTTGATGTGGTCTCTTCTGATCATCATATTTTCGAGCTTCGTCGCCTGTATGACAAGACTGAGTCTACAATTAGGAGTCTATCTGCATTGGGAGTACCTGTGGACTCTTATGGAGCATTGCTGGCTCCTGTGTTCATAAAGAAACTTCCATCTGAGCTCAGACTTGCTATTGCCCGAAAGGTTCCAGCAGATGATTGGAACATTACAAGGATACTGGAGGTGCTATTAGCAGAGGTAGACGCTAGAGAGAGGGCCTCCCTGCCTAAGACTAAACAGAGTGGTTTTACACCAAAGCGTGGAAGGGATTTTCCCACTACTGCCACTTTTATTGGAGGTAGCCGGAGTGGTTGCTGCTTTTGCCAGCAAGAGGACCACACACCTGCCCAGTGTACTAAGGTCACTGGAGTTGATGAGAGAAAGCGAATGATTAGAGAGCAGGGCAGATGCTTTGTTTGCCTCCGCCCAGGTCACATTAGTAAGCACTGTCGCTCTTCAATGAGCTGTGCTACTTGTAGAGGGAGACATCACTCTAGTGTATGTATGAGGAACTCAAAGCCCAAATCAGGCCAGAGGCCTCCTACTGCTAGAGATGGTGCTTCCCCACATTTGTCTAAGGGGCTTAATCCAGAGACCCCTCCATTTGAAGGATCAAATACGGGTGCCACATTCTATACTAGTTCTAGAGAGTCTACTCTCTTGCAAGTGGCACGCGTCTTTGCCTTCAATCTAATCGAGCCTGGTAATAGAATGTCTTTATATGTCCTATTGGACAGTGGGAGCCAGTGCTCATATATTACTCGAAGTGCATGCCAGAGGTTGGGATTACCATCTCTGGGCACTAAATCAGTTTCTATAATGACCTTTGGGTCTAGAAAGGAGTGTCGTACTGAATGCCATGTTGTAAAACTGGGTCTTGAGCTTAAAAATAATGCTCATATGGAGCTTAAGCTGCTCACAGTTAGCCACATTTGTGAGCCTTTGACGTATGAAGCCATAGATTTGAATAAGTATCCTCATCTGAATAATTTGGACTTTTCTATTCCATTGGATCATTGCAAGCAGATAAAGCCAGACATCTTAATTGGATCTGATCAGTATTGGTCTCTACTTACAGGTGAGATAATGAAGAGTAACAATGGGCCTGTTGCTCTAAACTCATGCTTTGGCTGGATTTTATCTGGTACTGCTGCTGTGAAACAGTCTAGTGCACGGAGTGCTACTATGGTCACCCATGTTTTAAGGGTTGATGGTGTCCATGAAGACATGAGCCTAGAACATAGATTACGTTCATTTTGGGAGCTAGAATCTTTAGGAATTTTGAAGATGAGAATTTAG